TTCCCTTCCCCCTTCCTCCCTCCCTTGCCCCACTGCCTTCCCCGGAGGCTCTGCCAGACACCCAAGCTCATGGGTTCTGTTCTGTGCCCAGGGCTTGTTGGGGGGCTCTCCCCTGGCTTCCTTCTGCTGCGTGGCCAACGCTCCCCCGCCCCAAAGTCCTTGCATCAGGCTTTGCATCCCATTGCAGTTATGAGCCACCCCCAAGATGCCCCCTCCATGCAGAGCATTGTGTAGCAGGCGCTGCAGCAGAGGAGGGACCCGCAGGCTGGGGTGAGTGGTGTTATTTAGGGGAGATGCACAACCCTGCGTGCACAGGGGTGGCTGTGACTCCCTCCGGGATGCTCCATGCACCAGCTGTGGAGCAGCGCGAGCATCCTCCAGCACCCGGAGCTCCTTCTCCATCGTCCCCAGCCCCAGGTCCTTCCTGAAGCCCATCCTCCTGGGCCCGTGGTGGAGACCAGCCTGGTGTCGTGGCAGGGATGTCCAGCTCCTCCCCTCGCAGCCAGCGCAGGCAGGCCAGGAGAGCTGCCCAGTGCTTTGCTGGGCTAAGCAGAAGCGGTTGGTCCGCGGCGCGAGCACGGCAAATTCCTCATTCCTCTTCCCTGTGCTGTGCTGCCTGCCTGCCATCTTTGCATGCAAACAGTAAACAGGCTGTTATTATCCCGGATGCTTTGAATAACTGTGGCTATTTTTTCTCTTCCCAGTATTCTAAAAAGGCAAAAAATTCCCTGTGGTTTCTGAGTCAACTTTTTTTTCTCGCTGTCTTTTCTTTCCTTCCCACCACCTCTGTGACCTTGAAAAACCAGGCGGACAAGCTTGCTGGTTCTCCCCGCTCGCACCCGCTCCCCAGCCATGCTCTGGGTGCTGCTTTCGCTGCTCCCTGCGGCTGGCAGCGGGCAAATTTGGGGCCAAGTCTGGTGGCGGAGCAGCCCCAGGCTGGCGGTGGTGGGCAGGATCCAGCCCGTTGGGCACCTTGCCCATCACCTCCTCTGGCTGAGGCAGCTGGGGATGCTTGAGGCAGCTGGGGATGCTCGAAGCTGCTGGGGATGCTCCAGGGGTGCAGCTCATGCAGGCAGCTGGGGCAGGGGTGCAGGATGCTGCCTGTGCTCCTCGGTTTCTGTCCCCAGGGATTGGAAGACGTGTGTCCAGGAACAATACAGGCAGCCAGGAGCCGAGGGGAGCATGAGAGCAGCCTGCCCATCCAGCCCTTGCAGGCAGCAGGTATTCCCTGGGTCGCCCCGCAGGTCCCCTGGAGGCTGGGACTCCTTCCTCCCCTTTCATGCCTCCTCGTCCTCCTGCAGGGCAGCCCCATAGGCACTCCTCTGCCTTTGCTCTTAGGTGTGATACCCAAAAGCCCTCCGTGGACCTGATATCAGGGCCTTTGGATGGGCATATGGTGGGCAGGGGCCAGGCAGAGGATGGCTGTGGCCGAAAGCCCCTCTCCAGCCTGGGCTTCAGCACCCTCCGGTCTCCAGGAGGTCAGAGCCAGTGGCAAGAGGCATGGGATGAATCAGGGCTCCCATATCCCCACCAGCTCCTCTGGCTCTTCAAATGCAAGAGTTTGCTGGTGTGTGTGGGTTGGTTTATTGGGGGCCTTCTTTCCCTCCCCCAGGTACGTTACTTCACACAAAAAATGAGTCTGGGCCGCGCCGCCCAAGTGCTGGTATGTGGGTCACGCACCCCTGCCTGCGTGCGGGGACTGCCTCTGCAGGCAGCACCGGCTGAGGTGGAGTGTTGGGCCAGGGCTGGCTGCAGGCAGGGGACAACGCCACACTCAGCTGCATCTCTGCTTGCTGCAGGAGGAGATGCCTGGCGGGGAGGGCTCCACATTCAGCCCCACATTGTTTCATCTCGGCAACATTTTCAGGATGCTTCGGATGCTCCGGAGGCCAAGGAGCAATGGTGAGCCCGGATGGATGGCGGTGAGGAGACGAGGAAGAGGACGTCGGT